TCTGTAGTCCCAACTACTCGGGAGGCTGAGGCAGGAGAATGGCGTGAACCCGGGAGGCGGAGCTTGCAGTGAGCCAAGATCCAGCCACTGCACTCCAGGCTGGGCGACAGAGCGAGACTCCGTCTCAAAAAAAAAAAAAAATGTGTGGCAAGGGGGAGGATAATGGAATTGGAGGGTTGTTAACTAAGTCGCATTGACTTAGAGATGGATAATGACAAGCTGAGGGCAATTAACAAACAACTGAAGACTAAGTGTGAGAGCCGACACGTGTTGGCTTCCAAGAAGCCCTCAGGGCAGGCAGGCAGCAGGGGTGCAGCACGAGCTCCAGTTCAAGTCCAGATTTCACAGCACAGTGGCTGAACGCAGAGATGGCTCAGCAGCCAGTGGAGTCACAGCTTAGGCTGTCAGGAGCCCTGGTCGGGAGCCCTGGGACACCCTGCTGGGGGTAGAGACTGAATGTGCAGACGGTGCTGAGGAGTTTGTAGCATTTGACCTCTGCTACAGGATGCCCCCTTCCCCATCCAGAGCCCGCTGTTCCCCAGAATCCTGTAGTGTAGAATTCTCTCCCCAACAAGACAACAGGCTCCTCCTCTCTGAGAGCTGTCCTGAATCCTCTCCGGGCCACCAGACCCCAAACCAGACCATAGCCCAGCCGGTGACACACTGGGCTGACAATGGAGGAAAGAGGCCACACCCCCGGGGGGCTGCAAGTCTGTCAGCGCATGCTGCCATGGCTGGGGGACACTCGTGGCACTGGATTCCAAGGGTGCTCAGGGCCCTTTTGGGCATCACGGCACCCCCTGGCCCGATCGTTTCTGTGCATGGACAAGCGCGGCCACCTCAGCCCGAGGAGGTCCAGTGGCCGGGACTCAGGGAAGGAGCATGAACCTCCAGGACCTGCAGTGGCCACAGCTGAGGCGGGAGGGTGCAGGAGGGAGGGAACGCATGCCAGGTGGGGCCCCAGCTCGGTCACGGCAATGGGGGTTCATCTGCCCACCTTCCTGCTCTATCTTCCCCCTGAAGGGGCTAGACCCCGAAGGAGCAGCTCCTGCCCAGGCATGGGACAAAGGCCCTGGGGCACAAGGGGTGGACAGCACAGAATGTACCACTCAGATCTCCCTTCAGAAAAGGACTAGGCACGTGGGGCTCATGTCTGTAATCCCAGTGATTTGGGAGGCTGAGGAACGAGGATAGCTTGAGCCCGAGGATTCAAGACCAGCTGAGGCAACAGAGGGAGACCCGTCTCTACAAAAACTTGGGGGAAGAAAAAGAAAAAGGAAAACAATTAACCAGGCATGGTAGCACATGCCTGTAGTCCCAGACACTCAGGAGGCTGAGGCAGGAGAATTGCTTGAGCCTGAGAAGTCAAGGCTGCAGTGAGCCATGATCACACCACTGCACTCAAGCCCGGGTGACACAGCAAGCCTCTGTCGAAATCAAAAAAAAAAGAAAAAAAAAAAGAAAAGTGGCTCACACCTGTAATCCTAGTACTTTGGGAGACTGAGGCAGGTGGATCATGAGGTCAGGAGTTTGAGACCAGCCTGACCAACATGGTGAAACCCCATCTCTACTAAAAATACAAAAATTAGCCAGGCGTGGTGGCACACGGCTGTAATCCCAGCTACTCAGGAGGCTAAGGCAGCAGAATCGCTTGAACTCAGGAGGCGAAGGTTGCAGTGAGCCGAGATTGAGCCACTGCACTACAGCCTGGGCAATAGAGTGAGACTCCGTCTCAAAAACAAAAACAAAAAAAAGAGAAAAGGAAAGAGGCCAGGTGCGATGGCCCACGCCTCTAATCCTGGCACTTTCGGAAGCCAAGGCAGGTGGACCACTTGAGGCCAGGAGTTCGAGACCAGCCTGGCCAACATGATGAAACCTGTATCTACTAAAAACACAAAAATTAACCCGGTATGGTGATGCATACCTGTAGTCCCAGTTACTTGGGAGGCTGAGGCATAAGAATCACTTGAACCCAGGAGCCGAAATCACGCCACTGCACTCTACCCTGGGCAACAGATTGGAGACTCTGTATCAAAAATAAATACAGAAATAAATAATTTTTTTTTTTAAAAAGAAAGAGACTTGCTGCCCAGCTCCTTCTCCAGGTGTTACCTGCCTGTTCCCCAGTTTCCTGCCCGCAGCTGTTAGAGCCTTGAGGGTTTGCTTCTGATTTTGCTGAGGTGGCACCTGCTGGGGTGTCCGCAGCCAGTGACTGAGTCAGGCAGTAGTACCAGGACCAGCCACCTCTGCCCCGTCAGGGCTCCTGTACTGGCCACTCTTTCCTCCCAACTCGCCAAGCTCCCCCTAGGCTCAGCAGGTGCTGTGTCAGGTCCACATCTCGACCAACAGCTCCAGCCTAATCCGCTTCCCCCAGGTTTCCTCTCACGGGTGTTACCCTCCCATTAACTTTTGTACCCTCAGTTCCAGCTCCTCGGCGTCTCCTTCCTGGAGAAACCAGCCCACAGCCCTCTCACCTGGCCTTTCTTTTTAAAGTTTTTAACTTTTTTGAGACAGGGTCTCATTCTGTCACCCAGGCTGGCGTACAGTGGCGCAATCTTCGGCTCACTGCAACCGCCACCTCCCAGTCTCAAGCCATCTGCCCACCTCAGTCCTGAGCTGTGACTACAGGTAAGTGCCACCACACCTGGCTAATTTTTGTATGTGTTGTAGAGATGAGGTTTCACCATGTTGCCCAGGCTGATATTGAACTCCTGGGCTCAAGTGATCTGCCCACCTCAGCTTCCCAAAGTGCTGGGATTACAGACATGAGCCACCATGCCTGACCCAGCCTTTATTTTTATTTATTTATGTATTAATGTATTTATTTTAGAGAGAGGATCTTGCTCTGTCACCCAGGCTAGAGTACAGTGGCAAGATCACAGCTCACTGTAACCTTGAATTCCTGGGTTCAAGTGATCCTTCCACCTCAGCGTGCTGAATAGCTGGGACTGCAGGCACATGCCACCATGCCCAGCTAATTTTATTTTTAGTAGAGACAGGGTCTTACTATGTTGTCCAGGTTGGTCTCAAACCCCTGGCCTGAAGTGATCCTCCTGCCTTGGCCTCCCAAAGCACTGAGATTATAGGCGTAAGCCACCGCACCTGACTTCACTTGGCCTTTATTGATGACAGGCAGGAAAGGCAGAGAGGGTTCATTTATTCACTCAGCAAATACCTGAGTAGGATGTGTAACACCTTGCCTAAGACCATGGGTTCTCCAACCTGGGTTTGTATGAGGGCTCTGCTGGGACAGTGGGCATGTTCTCTAACTGCCCTGGTCCTCAGTTCCCTGGCTATAAAGCGGGGACACTCACTAAACCTGGTCCAGAGTGTTGCTTTGAACATCACACACACAAACGGCTCAGCACAATGCCCAGCACACACTCAACTATTAGGAATTTTGTCTGCTGTTATTTTCAATTTCTTGGTGCATTCACTTCAAGGTTTTGGGGATGTGGGGCGTACTATTCAGAAATTAGAATGCCTGGTCTGACAAGCATCGGGGAGGGATGGTACCAAGAAGACTGAGGATTTGGAGTGGTGAGATCTGGGGGTTTCAGGGTGCATGGCTGCTATTCTCATGAACTTATATGGCTGGCTGGCTGGCAAAGCGGAGGCTGCATGTGTCGCAATCTCTGCGTCGCTCTTCCCAGGAGGGGGCTGCCGACCCCGGCCCATATAAAAGAAGCCTCTATCTGCTCTGCTCATTTGTGCCTGAGGCAGCTGCCGTCAGGCAGAGTGGACCCTTGGTTCTGAGGCACTCATCTGAGCAGGGAGATGCCTTCATCCCCGGGCGGAGGAACAGCCCCATGGAGACACCAACACCCTTTCCCCAGCCACAACCAATATCTTAAAAGTGAGGTTTCTGCCTCACACACGGCTCCTGGGAACAGGAAGTGGTGCAACCACTTTGGCAACCAATTTGGCAGCTTTTCACACTGTCAAACAAAGAATCACCACATGCAGGCGTGCTCGGTGGCTCACACCTAATCCCAGCACTTTGGGAGGCCGAGGCGTGTGGATCATCTGAGGTCGGGAGTTCAAGACCAGCCTGACCAACATGGAGAAACCCCATCTCTACCAAAAATACAACATTAGCCGGGCGTGGTGGCACGCGCCTGTAATCCCAGCTACTCGGGAGACTGAGGCAGGAGAATCACTTGAACCCGGGAGGCGGAGGTTGTGGTGAGCCAAGATCGCACCACTGCACTCCAGCCTGGGCAACAAGAGTGAAACTCCATCTGAAAAATAAATAGGTAGATAGATAAATAAATAAGAATCACTACATAACCCTACAACTGTACATACCCAGGAGAAATGAAAACATATGTCCACACGAAAACACGCACAAATGTTCATAGCAGCATGATATGTAACAGCTCAAAAGTGGAAACAAGCCACATGTTCATCAGCTGGTGACAGATATGCAGCATCACACGGTGGCACTGCATTTAGCCCTAACGGATGCACCATGAAACCAAGAGACGCGCTACATGAAGGGGCTGGGCATAGAAGGCCATCTACTGTATAACTCCAAGTACGGGAAATGCCCAGAAAAGGCAAATCCACCAGGACAAAAAGGAGACCAGTGGGTGCCTGGGACTAGAGGAAGGAGGATGGAGAAAGGCTGCTAATGGGCATAAGGTTTCTTTTTTTCTTTTTTCTTTTTTACAACCTCCGCCTCCCAGGTTCAAGCGATTCTCCTGCCTCAGTCTCCCAAGTACCTGGGATTACAGGTGCACACCACCATGCCCAGCTAATTTTTTTTTTTTTTTTTTTTTTTTTTAGTAGAGAGGGGGTTTCACCACGTTGGTCAGACTGGTCTCAAACTCCTGACCTCAAATGATCTGCCTGCCTCGGCCTCCCAAAGTGCTGGCATTACAGGCATGAGTCACCATGCCCAGCCGGAACTGTACACTTCAAATAGGTGAATATTACAGAATGTAATAAATAAAGAACCTTAATAAAGCTGTTAGACACATAAATAAATAAGGCACGAGTTCCGGTTCAACCCAGCACAGAAGGGCCAGATTCCGAGGTTCCACGGTGTGTGGGGAAGGCCATTTGCAAACACGCTCTGCCCCAAATGCAACAAGGCTCCCAGGGCAAATGGGGTTTCCATGTTCTGGTGCTTGGGAAAGACGAACACATATTCGTGTCCGTTCGCGACTGCCTGTATCAACGAGATGAGCCACCAGAAATGTCTCAGGCGCCATCCTCCCCATCCAGCTCCTGGTACCTGTTGGAAAAGCCTGGGGCAACCCTGCACTGGCACGCCTTCTTCTCACCTGGCCCATGCTCTGTCCCTTCTGCTGCACACACTGCCACATACCCAGGTATGGGCTTCACCGCCAGGGTCTGCCTCGGCGGGCCTGTGTGGGTGCCTGCCGGCTTCCGATGCACATCATTTCTTGCCACACAGAGCCCCAATCCAGCCTGTGCGCTCAGGGTGGTGAAGGCAGCGACATAAGGAAAGGATTACGGTGTTAACAAGTCGGAACTGAACGCGAGTAAAAATAACCACGTGCCCTGGCAGAACGCTTTCCATCTGACGGCGAGGATGTCTTGGTGCACGGACGAGGGTCCCCGGCGGCGCTGCTGGGTGAGGACAGGCTTTGGAAGGCCTGGCACACCTCTCCCGACATCTGCACTGCTCCTTTATTTACATGACCTCATTCCCGGGCTGTGGCTCTGCCCAGCAGCCGCTCGTGCAGCATCAGGCAGGCGTAAAGACAAGTGCCCAGCCTGGCTGGGACGCGCCCGCAGGCCTCTTGAGTAACCATGGCAACTCTCTAGGACGCACCCGACATCCTTTGCATGGAGTCAAGAGAGGACACAATGTAAGAGGAGAGACTCTTGAAGAAGAAGCTGCTTCCTTCCCTCATGCCCAGCGCCAACCTCAGGTCGGTCTCCATCTGGACATCTGCAGAGCATGAGCTCCAAGTGCAGAAATCGTGTCTGGGCTTTGTCCCCTCCTGCCGTTCACTACCTCCTCCCCCTGCCCCAACCTGAAGGCTGAGCACAGAGGACCACCAGGGAGGAGGCCCGGACATTGAGCACCCAGGGTTAGCAGCTGGCAGACTCAGCCAAGAATCCCAGCCCTGTCATGTCATGTGCTGGCCGTATGATGCTGGCTGTCACCTAGCCCAGGCTAAGCGCCTGGTTTCCTCCACTTCGAAGGTGCAGCACCATATCCGGAGGGCTGTGGAGGGGTTCGGGGAGGAAATGCATGGCCGGCTTGGGTACCAGGTCTGGCGCAGAGCAGTGGGACCGGACTGGTGGACACTTAGTAAGACAGTGGTGGATTGACTTAGAAGAGGCCTTTCATCGTTTACTTTCTATCCAAGTAGAACACAGGGCTGGCGAATGCTGTCCCACTCCAGCCATTCCTGAGCCCCTAAAGCCCAGGGGCCCCTCACAGTCACCGGGAGAGAAAAGCTACTGGCCTCCTGCTGACGGCCGTCTTCTGTTCCACCAGGATCTCTCAGCATTTTATCCTGCATTTTGAGGTGGCAGTGCCAGGGCTGGCCCTATCAGAATCTGACATTTCGAAAGCTGGTGTCTGGGTCTGCTTCAGGTTCGCCCAGCTTCTCATCAGCTTCGCCCCGCTGTCCCTCCAGCTGCACCTGGAAGTGTGGCCGAGCCTGCCTGCTGGGTGCTGGAGTTTAACACGCTCCTCTTTTATTTTCCAAGGAACTTCCCATCATACAGGGTTCATCACGCGGGGAAACTCGGCTGTTGGGGTGGGAAGGGGAGAAAGGGAGGTGGAAAGGGGACAGGAGGCAGGAGGGAGAGACAGATTGGAAGAGGGAAGAGGGTCTGAGGATGCCTGAACTTCAACCCACTGGTGCTCATCCAGCCTCCTGGGAAAACAGCCCTGCAGAGCCCCAGGCAGGAGGAAATGGATTTTAACTGGATTCAAAGAGAGCAGGTCAGACCTCCATGAGAATTCCTGATTGTGCAAGATCGACTCAGCCCTCCCTCTTCACCTTACTGTCCAACCACCCCTGTGGTTCCCTGTGCCCCGAACACCCTCCCTGGGCCTCACTGTCCCATTCCCTGCCTGGAAGGCCTCAGAGCAAAGCTGGTGCTGAGCCTCCCCACCCGGTGCACCTGTGCCCTCCTGAGCTCCCTCCCGGCTGCCGCTGTTGCACCTGTGCGGTTGGAGGGTCTTCCTCAGGGGAGGGGGCCTGAGGAAGGCCTGAGGCCTGCAGGGCTTCCCCAGTCCCCTCTCCTGTGCCAGATCCTGAATGAGGGGAGGGGGACGGTTGAGTTGTGTCTCACCAGCACTCGACCACACTTCAGACCACTGACTTATTTTATCTGTGGACCACCCATCGTTAACCACCTGGGAATTAACTCAGCTGTTTCGTGTGGCTCCTGCTGAGCAATGACACCTGTGAGATCAATGGCTGTGCCAGTCATTCTTGCTCAGGGAGACATTAGAGTCACATGATGGTTTTCTGTGGGGGGGGGCACCCTTACCTGCTGCAGGATGCTGGCCTGTGCCACCCCAGCTAGACGGATGACGCAACGTAGAGCAGGGTCCTGCCTCCCTGTCTTCCCACCTGTCACTGGGGACCGCAGCAAGCTCCTACATACGCAGAGCGAGCATGTAATGAGTGGCTTGTGGCTGCAGCACAAACCTCTCCAGCTGCCCCTATGGCCCTCCCAGTGCCCTCTGCACATGCCCTCTGTTCCTACATGTTCCTCCAGAGTAGCCCCCGGTTACCCTCACAGGCATGATCTTCTGGGGTCCTCAAGTACACCATTGAGATGGGCAGGCAAAAGGAGAAACTGAGGCAGGTAGTCCAACTGGCCCAGGGTTTCCCAGAAGCCCCAGCTCGTTCCTCTAGATCCTTGGGCTCGCTGGTCTAAAGCCTGGTGATAACCAGGTGGGTGGGCTGTTCAGACCTGTGCACAGTAAAGAGCTGCTTATAGTGGAGGAATTGGATACACGTGCCCCAGCCTGGAAAACAAGCCATGCCAGTGAATATCCAGGTCGACTTGGGCCTGGCACAACTGCTTGCCTTCTCAGACCTCTCCCAAGTGCCCTCCACTTTGGGCAGGACACCAAGCAATGAACGGCAGGGCCTGCATTCCTGGACCTGGGCACTACATATATTTTTAGCCTCTGCCTTCCTGGGCATTTGCAGGGTGGCTAATGTTCTCAGGGAGCCACCAGCTGCACACCCATGGGCTGGGCGGGCACTCGGAGGCCTCTGGGAACTGCACCCTCCCTGCTTTCAGTCCTGGGGCTCAGAAGCCAGCTCCTCTTTCAAGGTAGAACCAGCTCCTGCTAGTGAAGCATGCACCCCAGCCCCAACACAGCCAGAAGCTTGTGGCTCAGAAACTAGCAGGCATGAAGTACAGGATCTATGACCTTGGATTTCCTTACTTGGAAAGTGGGGTGGGGTGGGGGATAGAAGGACTTTGACTCCACACGAGATCACCAGGCCAGGTCACTCAGGAGACCTGGTTGGCACCTCCTCCTGACAGGTGCACCCTGTATGTCCAAGTGAGGAAGGCTGTGCTATGTTGAGAAGCAGAGTCTGGGTCGTGCTTCCCAGGGCCAGATGCCCCGGTCGCTGGAGACCTCTCTTCCCAAATGTCCCAGTCACTGGAGACCTGTCTTCCCCGGGTCACGCTTCCCAGGGCGAGATGCCCCGGTCACTGGAGACCTCTATTCCCCGGGTCGAGCTTCCCAGGGCCAGATGACCCAGTCGCTGGAAACCTATCTTCCCTCAGCTGGGCTGACTCCATGGCTTTGCTGTGTCTGTTCTCTTCCTGCACACGACATTCCAGGAGCCAAGAAGCAATTCTGGAATGTACAGGTCAATCTTGGCAGATGAAACTGAATTTTCCCTCTTCTCTTCTGCTTCCTGTGTCCTCTTCCTTAAACCCATCACTGTTCTCTTACTGGCCATTGCTGGGCTCTGGTGGGAGCAGGTTGGCTTCACCTTTGTGAAGAGAAAAAGAGACAGTGTGCTGCAGCCCCAAGCCTGTGGAGGATGCCACCAGGCCAGACTGCAACTTCCCTGTGTGTGACTCCCCGTGCTGGGCCTGTTTCCCCTTCTGTCAAATGGGGAGTCACAGCACCTAACCTGCAGGGCAGGTAAGATCTTCTCAGCATAGTCAGAAATACATTTTAGGTCCTTACCAAGTCCACACTTATACAAACAGGTGAAATAAATATTTCACAAAATAATACTTACTTTCACCATGTAAGATACTGTTATTTTCTTTTTTTCCTTTAGAAATAGGGTCTTGCTGCCACCCCTGAGTGCAGTAGTCCGACCACAGCCCATTGTAGCCTCCAACTCCTGGGCTCAAGTGATCCTCCCGCCTCTGCCTCCACCTCCCCAGGAGCTGGAACTACAAATATGTGCCCCCACACTCGCCTTATTTTTTAAAAGGTTTTTTGTAGAGATGTGGTCTCCATATGTTGCCCAGGCTGATCTCTAACTCCTCGCCTCCACTGATCCTCCCGCCTCAGCCTCCCAAAGTGCTGAGATTACAGGCATGAGCCACCCACCACGCCTTCTGATATTTTCTATCTTACTCGATTTCATTTTTATTTATTATTATTTTTCTTGAGACGGGGTCTCACTCTGTCGCCCAGGCTGAAATGCAGTGGTGAGATCTCTGCTCACTGCAATCTCCACCTCTCAGACTCAAGCGATTCTCCTGCCTCAGACTCCCGAGTAGCCGGGGATTGCACGTGCCTGTCACCACGCCCGGCTAATTTTTTTGTATTTTTAGAGTAAAGACAGGGTTTTACCATGTTGCCCAAGTCCATGTTGGACTTGAACTCCTCACCTCAAGTGATCCGCCCGCCTCCGCCTCCCAAAGTGCCGGGACTACCGGCATGAGCCACCGCGCCCAGCCTATTTCATTTTTATAGTCACCACCCGCTATTTTTTTTTCCGGGTCCCAATATTGGTCCCTGATCTGATGATATTCACAGTCAAGACGGTGGCAAAAAAAAAAAGCACACACCGCGCGCCCTCGGTCACTAATCACGCAGAGTACACGCGGGGAGGGCCCGCGGCTAAGCGACTGAGGGCGGCCGAGCTTCCTGCACGACCGGGGAGGTGGGCAAGGCCTCCGGGCCGCAGCCCCGGGGACGAGCGGAGGCCTCCGAGGCCCCCGGTAGCCAGTCAGAATTTATTTTAAGGGAAATGGAAAGCTGCGGCCGGCTTTGGGAGGAGCAGCAGGATTAAAAGAGAAAGTGTGCTCAGCATGTTATATTTGGAGGCTGCCACGCCGGAAGCGCCGCCTTCCCGGGAGCTGCCGCCGCGGCCGCCCCCCGCTGGCACCTGGGCACCGGGGCGGGAGTCCTGGGGCTCCCCGGGAACACCCGGCGCCCAGGGCCTCCGCCGCTCCCCGGTCCCCCACGAGGGTGAGAGCTAGAGGCCCACCTGGCGCAAAATAGGGGAGTCGTCCGGACCCCACTTTTGTAGGAAGAGAAACTGAGGCCAAGGGGGCAAAACCCCAGTGTTTGCGGCGCCCAGAGTCGGGGCCGGGGCCGGCACGCGCGGGGGCGGGGCCTGGCGCTCCTCCCCTGCCCCGTCCACTGAGCGTGCAAACCGCAGCCGCCCACCCACGCGCACGCGCGCTCCGCCCGGGCCGCTTCCCAGCCCTCACCCCGCCCGCCGAGTCTCGTGCTCCCAGCTCCGCCAGGGGCCCGCCGGGAGCCGGCCGAGGAGGGGCGGAGCGCCGGGGAGACCCGCCCTCGGCCAGCGACACCTTGCTGCGCAGGCGCGGCGCGCGGGCCCGCCCCCCAGCTGGCGGCACGGCCATATTTAAAGGACGGCGGGCGCGGCGAACCAATGGGCGGCGAGCGTGAGGGGGCGGTGCGTGGCGGCGCAAGGCCCCGGATGTGGCTGCTGCGGCGGCTCCTCCTCCCCCGCGCTCCTCTCAGAGCTCCGGCCGCGCGCCCCTCCTTGGTTCGCTCGGTGCCCGCGCAGGCCCCTCGGGCGGCGGCGACGAGGCGCCTAGGCGGAAGCGGCGGCGGGCGGAGGAGCGCAGGAACGGGCGGCCAGGCCACCGCGCGGCTGCGGAGCGGGCCGCGGCCCGGCGCTCGTCCCCCCCCGCGGCCCGACGCACCCCGGCCGGCGCCATGAGCGGCTCCTCAGGCACCCCGTATCTGGGCAGCAAGATCAGCCTCATCTCCAAGGCGCAGATCCGCTACGAGGGCATTCTCTACACCATCGACACCGACAACTCCACCGTGGCGCTTGCCAAAGGTAGCGGCCGCCGCCCGCCCTCGCGCCCGCCGGCCCCAACCGCCCGAGCCCGCGGAGCCCGCCGACCCCCGTCCGCCAACAGCCCCGGCCCGCGCCACCCTCCCCGCCCCGGGGCGACCCCAAGCCCGGCGTTGAGACTCCCGTACCGTCCCGGAGCCTGGCGCCCAGACCCCGCCCGGAACCCACCCAGGGCACCCCTAGGCCGAGATCTCCCGCCCGCGCCTTCACCCCGGACGCCCCCCGGGCGCCCCCTCCCGCGCGCCGCCCTCCCCCAGAGCAGCCGGCCGCACAATGGTCTCCCTAGGCTCCCAGGGCGGCGTTATTGTGCGCGGGCGCCGGGCGGTGTTTGGTGAGGGGCGGGCCCGGCCCCGGCGGCGCCGCCCCCTCGGCCGCCCAGCCCACCTCTGCAGGTGCCAGCTCCGAGGGGCAGGGCGGCTCCCGTCTGCGGGCCTCCTCCCCGCCAGCCTGGGGAGATTCCTGCGGGGGAGCCTCGAGGTCGGGCGGCGGGGCCAGTGTCCCGGCCTCTCCCGAAGGCTGGGGGCGGGGTCACAACACGCGAATCCTGCAAGCCTTTCTGGAACCTATTAGACAGCTGGGGCCTTGATCCTGAACAAATACCGCGTCCTAATGCAGCTTCCTGCCAAGGCAGAAGCATCCGTTTGGCAGCCAGATGCCCCGGTTTAAACCGTTCTCCTGCTGTATCCTGACGTTCACACTGTGGGGCTTACCTTTTGGTGACAGCCGCCTGTGGGCGCTGATAACCCGCTGTAGCCGCTGGGAGACTTACAGGAAAGGGGCTGTTCTCTAGAATCAGAATCTCTGAGGTTGTTGAGACAGCGGGTGGTCCAGAGTTTCTTTGTCTTCATCACCCAGAGAAGATGGGGAGTGCACTTCCCCTGCCTCTCAGAGAAAAGTGCCGGTGGAGCCATGTCTGCCTAAGCCCACGTGTGCTGGATCTGGTGCTCGGCTCCCAGGGGTTCTTGAAGTGTCTAGACGCGTCTGAAACGCTTCTTAAGTCACAGGGAGCCGCAAGTGTAGAAGAAGAACTCGTTCCAAACAGGGAGTGTCTTCTGCGTGGCTCCAGGAGCTCGCTGAGCATGCCAGGGCTGTGCACTCACTTGCAGCCGTGGGACCTCACTACACTTATTACAGGAGAGCCCAGTTAGAGAGACAGCCCAGAGTAGGCCCAGGAGTTAGTAGGAGTTGTGCTCTTAGGAGTTAGAGGCTGCTGTCCCACCCAGCTCTGCCCCTAGAGGCTTGCTAAAAGGAGATTTGGTAGGGCTCTGGAAGCCTGCTGGTTAGGGGTTAGTGGGCTCAGAATTCCTTATAGGTGCGGAAGCCGGGGTCAGAGGTGGCTTTGGTCATAAAGCAGCCAGCTGGCTGTTTGATCTACAGAGTCATATGTGAACAGGGAGGCCTTGCGAAGCAAGCCTTGTTTTGCTGAGAGCTCTGTACGTTGGTGTGTTCGCACATGAGACAGTCTGTGAAATTGTTCCTTGTTATCTTTGTGATCTAGAACTGTCTGTTGTCTGGAGCTTCACCAATTGGTGCGTTATCAGCACTGTCCACTGAAAATTGGGGTGTTAAGTAGTTGTTGAAATGTGGACCTAGAGTCCCTGTGTTGTGGCTCTGAGCAAGTGCCGCCGTCTTCTGGAAGACTTGGGAGCAGTGGTGTCAGGGTTGATTGAACTGGCTGAGGACAACAATAACGTTTCTCTTTCTCCACTCATAAGTGAGGTCCTTTGGCACTGAAGACCGTCCCACAGATAGGCCTGCGCCCCCCAGAGAGGAGATTTATGAGTACATCATTTTCCGGGGAAGTGACATCAAAGATATCACTGTGTGTGAACCTCCAAAAGCTCAGCACACACTCCCACAGGATCCTGCCATTGTTCAGGTAAGTGTGCCACTGTCTCTCTGTGCACACTAAGAGATGCTGGTTTCAATTTGGAGCTTGGTGGCATGTTTTGTCAGAATGCTCAATGTGAGGAATAACCTTTTTTTTTTTTTTTTTCCCTTTGAGACGGAGTCTCACTGTGTTGCCAGGCTTCAGTGCAGTGGCGTGATCTCAGCTCATTGCAACCTCTGCTTCCTGGGTTCAAGTGATTCTCCTGCCTCAGCCTCCCGAGTAGCTGGGACTAACAGGCACGCACCACCACGCCCAGCTAAGTTTTGTATTTTTAGTAGAGACAGAGTTTCACCATGTTGGTCAGGATGGTCTCAATCTCTTGACTTCATGATCTGCCCGCCTTGGCCTCCCAGAGTGCTAGGATTACAGGCATGAGCCAAAGTACTCGGCCTGAGGAATATCCTTTTAATGAAAAGTGGCTTATTTTTTGTCTAGGCCATTGCTGTTCTCGCGGAAGGTGTTGATTCTTGTAGCACACACAGTAGGTGGTGTGTGCTGTGTCTCATGGCTCTTAAGGAAGGAGACCTGGGGAGCTGGGCGTGTGCGCGCGTGTATGTAGTGTAGTGTAGTGTGAGTGGATGCTCCTGGACCTGTGATGTTTGGGGCATAGCGTTTGCCCTTAGTTTCTGGTTGGAGAAGTCTGAGCCCTCAGCAGCTGCTGTGAGTGGGGTGACATACCTGCAGGGACTGCAGGCTTGCCCTTGGGTTATGCCCAGATGTTACATGCTGCTGTTGTACGACACCAGATTTGTAAGTCTGATGCCACGTTCCTGCTTATTGGGTTATGGCTTATTTTGCCCATGCTCACACCAGGGAGCCCAGATTAATATTTTCTTCACTTCTAAACTTAAATATTCACTGGCTCCTCTGGGGTTCAGACTGCACCAGGTTCCGTGCCGAGCACCCGTCCTGGAAGGTGGGATCACACGGGGCAGGCTTTGGCAGCAGTGGGGAGCCATCCGATGGCTTTGAGTTAGGAGAAATTTGGGTTAGAATTACATGGACAAGACGCCTGTAATCTCAGCACTTTGGGAGGCCGAGGAGGGCAGATCATCTGAGGTCAAGTGTTCAAGACCAGCCTGGCCAACATGGCAAAACGCCATCTCTACTAAAAGTATAAAAATTAGCTGGATGTGGTGGTGGGCATCTGTAATCTCAGGTACTCGGGAGGCTGAGGCAGGGAAAATCGCTTGAATCTGGGAGGCAGTGAGCTGAGATCACGCTGTTGCACTCCAGCCCAGGCAACAGAGCAATGCAATGTCTCAAAAAAAAAAAAAAAAAGAAAGAAAGAAAGAAAAAAGAATTGCATGATTACATGGACAGGTGGAACTGGAACTGAAATGCTGTGGAAAAGGCAGCTCTCACCATACTGGAAACTGGTACCCCAAGGGCTCCTCCAGCATCTCAAGGATGCAGGCTGATGGGACAGTGCTTGTTTCCCAGCTGAACAAGCACTCTGATGCAGGCGTGTGGGGTGATGGGATGGCCTTCGCTGTTCTCACCCGATGTCTCATTGTTCAGTCTTCCCTGGGTTCTGCCTCCGCCTCGCCCTTCCAGCCGCACGTGCCTTACAGCCCTTTCCGAGGGATGGCGCCCTACGGCCCGCTGGCGGCCAGCTCCCTGCTCAGCCAGCAGTATGCCGCCTCCCTGGGTCTAGGTGAGTGACCTGTTTCTGTCTGGTAAACTACCCGTGCGTGTAACTGTCACTGAGTGGAGCGATGGAGCCTGAGAGTGGGGGCGTGCATTCTTGTCACGCTCAGCTTATAGACTGTTTTATTGCACACTTAGTAAATTACCCAGTGCAACTTCAGCTTGTGAGAGCATTTAGTAACTACTCAACTGAGAGTAAAAGAGGCAGCGGCCTGAGTGTTGGAACAGAATAATCAAATCAAAATTCATTCGAAGAGTCAGGGTGGATCTAGGTGGAAGTCCTGGGCCAGGCATGGTGGCTCATGCATGGAATTCCAGCACTTTGGGAGGCCAAGGCAGGTGGATCATGAGGTCAGGAGTTCGAGACCAGCCTGGCCAACATGGGGAAATCCTGTCTCTACTAGAAATGCAAAAATTAGCTGGGTGTGGTGGGACACACCTGTAATCCCAGCTACTTGGAAGGTTGAGGCATAAGAATAGCTTAAACCTGGGAGGCGGATGTTGCAGTGAGATTGCACCACTGCACCCTAGCCTGAGTGACACAGCGAGACTCTGTCTCTAAAAATAAATAGGTGGAAGTCCTGGTATATCTGCTTCAAAGAAGAAATAGCTGATATATATGTAGTGTTACAGATGAGGTCTAGCTATTTGCACATTTATAAGCCTGTAAATATAGAAGTGAAATGCAAGCCCACCCATCATGTTCCTTGTTCTACTGCAAGTGCCTCGCTCAAAAATGGTTTCAACTGAGATTGAACAACCCCAGAATATGATTCTACTCTCTGTATGTAGAGAGAGATCCCGCTTTGTCCTTTACCTGGACCTAGCTTTGCAGATGGGCTCAGAGTATAGAATTGGCAGGTGATCCACCGCCCTTGCTCAGAATCCAGCATGA